CTCCCGCCCCCTTCTCTCTGTCTTTCCTAACGTTATTTTCAGAAGGATCGTTTATGCGTAAAAATATTTCTCTTCCGAAGAAAAATGCTGACTCCGTATATCGAAATCCGATATGTGTACGAAGGGTGACGCGCGTATATACCTTTATTTTTCCAGTTTTCATCTTCTGAAGATATTTTAACATATTTCCGCAAAGATGGAATTTCCATTTCGAATTGACATAAATGGAGAAAACACATATACCGTGTTGCTTTCAAATTCTTTTCATCCGTATAAGGTAAAATAACAGTACAAATCGATCAGCAATAGGAAGCTAATATTTACCTTCGATATCTTCGAACGTTATACAGTATTTAGCTAGAGATTATTATGCACGTATATATAATCGTATGCTAATAATAGCTGCCTGCTATCCAATGATACATAGTCCTTGTCGGGAACGCATTAATGCGCATAGATAATAACTAGCTAGCATTAGACTATAATCACTTTGAATCGATTAGCATACAAATGATCGATATTTATTGAATAAATAAAACGCGTGCATAATAGAGAGAAGAGGAGGAACGGGGTAAATTACAAACAAATGTAAAGCACTTGCAAATAATCGAACAGAGTGTACACGACTATAAAACGAAACCAACAGATATGTACATACATATTATATACATGTAGATAAGTATTCACAGTGTGGATTTATACTGCGAGGAAATTGAAGCTTTCCCGTGGTCGAATATTTTTCAAATTGTTATAAAAATTTGTCGGTTTTTATTGATAAGAGTGGATTTTTGAATTTTATTTAAATTTCATCGTTTGAATAATTCTTTCACGCGTACCAAACTGTTCTGGCGAATTTCTGGCAAGCACTAATTGGTACTACACGTTTAAACTCGTAAATCCGATTCGAGCGATTCTGGCGACCATGGACTTGGGCACATCCTGCACCGACATAATCTGAGACCTAATACGTATCCGAGCTACTAAAACTGCGACAGCTTTTAGTGCCGTCGTATCTTAATTAACCGGTGAAATTCTTATCTCAGATACAAAACTGCAGCCGGTTTACGACGACTCGAACGATGACGTGTTATCCCGTAAAAGGCTCCTCGCGTTTTGCTGCCATCAACATAAACCGCCGCATAAACGGCGACTCAACGACGATCCGCAATTTGGCCGCGCCGCGCCGCGTCGAAACGCAAAATGCACCGTTGTCGGCGTTTTTTTTTCCTTTCCTTTGTTTTCCGAGGCGCGTGCTACCACTGTTACCGCGATCGAAAGTGAACTCTCGAATGAACGTCGAGTCAGTCGAGTGTCGATACGAAACGGCGAGCACGGCTCGTCGTATTTCGACGGTTAATAGTCCGACGCGAGTGTCGTGATGCGAGCTGGCACGGCGGCATTCGCGTTATGTCCGCGAAAGATCAAAATTTGTTCAACCCGCGGTCGGTCTAGTGTTCAAACAGAATAAAGTGTCACTTCGGTTAACACATTACACTGAAATAATATAGCATGAAATACACCGCCGCGGGAAGTTGAAGTGGCTCGACATTCTGGGTCGGCATTTAAAGCTGTGTATAACGTTATTCCAGTTAATATATTATTTTCTATAAATATTCTATTAAAATAAATTTAAAATTTATATATTATATAATTATATTAAACAATTTATAATTCTATAATCAGCTATAACTTTGTAATGTAACTCTTTATCATGAAACAAGATGCAGTTAATTAAAAAATTAAACAACGTCCGCCTTAAAAAAATTCGAAAATAACAAGGTAACATATACTACACAGCCTGTAATTAGAACGTAAATGTTCGCCCCAGTTAGCACGTATACATCGTCTTAATCCTATATATTCCGAGACGATCAAGGCTATATATTCGCTGCTGATTCTAGCGGTATCAAAGGGGCTCCGTCGCTCTCTGTGGCTCCAGTGTCGGTCACCATATTTTGATACACAATGATTGTGTAATCAGTGTAAACCAGCGATGACCGAAATAGCACTCCCGCGATAGATTCGGAACAGGGACGGATAGAGCGCAAAGGTCGCGGTAAAATGTTTGGAGGCAAAAAACGGATGACACGATCGAGATCGCGTGACCGCCGTGCAACGTCGACATAAATTATTTATGAATTACAGCCGGCCCGGTCATCGATGCGAGAGTATAGGTGAGTGAGATCCGAGGGATCGTGTGCGCATTGTATCTATGTGAGCGTATTTCGTGCATGCATTCGTGCGGTGCGACTAACGTCCGTCATCGCATTCGCAATGATATACTTACTCGGCCGAGGAAGAAAGAGGGTGAAGGAAAAGCTTTTCTCGGTACGTGTGAGAGAATCTGTGAAGCAACCGCCGCGAAGTTTCTTCATAAATTAATCCCCGAGCACGTGGTCACGTTAGTTTTCTACGTGTAGCGAATGCACGGGGGAACGCTAACTTCGCATTCTTTCGCCAATAGCGATCTCCCACGGATTTCTACATCGTAGTTTTCTACATCGATGAATGTAGTAATAATAGCAATAGAACGGTAAAAAGTTAATATGCGAAACGATTCAGAACTGACGCCTTAGCTACTTTTCAGTCAGAAATTGGAAAAAAGTTAAGTATAAGAAATGCATGTGTTACTCAAGCACAGTTATTCAATCTTGTGTTAAAAAAATTTGTTTGAAGATTTGCAATTAAAATTTTGCCATTGAAAAGGTAGACGTCTATCTTTCATAAGAACCATCTATCAAATCTGACTGAGCAATTCATAAATAGCTTGCGACACGAACATGTGACTTTTTAAAAACCGCGATGCAAATAACGAGAAGCGTCAATATCATAAATATGAATAATTGTAACAGAAACGTGTACCTATAGAGAAAAGATGGTTACGGTAACGCGATGCAATTTATCGCAAATTGCGCGTATCGCAAATTGCACCGAATACATAGAATAGCATTTAGAAGGCGTGTAGAGTCAACACGATTACAGTACGGCAATAATACTGCTTACAAGCATGTTATAAAAATACTTATTGTTGACCGCGATATAGAGAGATAAAGCATCTCCTGCGAACCGACCGTGCACGCAATTTTTTCACGCTTGGAAAAACACGTCGCGATTGTCTCGAAAGAAATGACCGTGTAACTTTGCGATTAAATTAAAAGCGGCTTAAAAAAGATGGAGATCTCTAAAACACACTGCGTGATATCTATATAATTTATATGCCTTCTCGGTCTTTATTTAAATTTTTTTTTTCATATCGTTGCGTTCAGTATAACGACGTTGTTCCCTCGCGGAATGTTTTCACCACGAGATTTATCGACGCTGGTCTCTTCGGTCGTCATGAAAAAAAGGAGAAAGGAAAGATTTTAAAGCGGCTTACGCGATACTACAAAAATTGTGCTAGAGACAATGTTCTAAAACTCGCTGGACCGAGCGGCGGATGCTGGCGCGTTATTTTTTTTTCGCGCTTTAATCGCCAGATTTTTGTACTTCCGGATCATGCGCTGCAAAACTGTAGTGTGTCCTCGTGAAATGTTAACGTGCAACGCGGTGAGAAAAGAAATATTCCGCTCATTTGCGCGCGCGGTACAATGGACGTATTTTGTCGGGCGACGACGGTTCGACGCGCGTTTTAATTTGTTACGACACGGGAAACAACAAAGAACGTCTGTTTCGCACGTCGGGCACTAATTACAACTTAAATTAGACAGGTTCCTTGACAATGAATGCAAGAATGCGCGTGCGAAACGTCGCCGTGCAATTATTCCTGCCGCTTCACGAAATCATACATGTAAAATGATTCGTCAAGTACGCATCGCGGCGAGAATTAGGCGATTGTGTGATAATTAAAATTCTCGCATAATAATGGTAATTATTCCTTCATATCTAGCGTAAATCTATTAAATCTAATAGCATAAATTTTAAAATGTTTACCGCGGATTATTCCAACGTTAAATCCAGAAAATGTTTATCGGATATTTTTAAACGGCATATAAACATGATATCAATACGGACTCATTCATATCCCAGTGAATAAAAATGATGAACATTATTTACAGCATTGCGATAAAGGGGAAAACAGTTTGCAGATTCATTCAGATTCGAAGACGAATTAAGTGCTCGTTATCAGCAGTTCGCATTGGCGGCCGTGGGCTATTTTTCGTCCGACGATATATATAGGGGGTGATTTCTATCGGAACGGAGTCGGACTATTACGCGCAGGCAGAATGGGGAATTGGAACGAGCAGATTCGTTGGAATGAGCCGACCGTACTACAATCGGGCCTGGATTTTTTCCAAGACGACTTTCGTCGGTCGAGCAAAGAGGAGAAGAAAAAAAACGGAAAAAAAAGGGGAGAAAAGTTCCCCGTCCCGGCGAAAACCGTCGGACAGGTAATAAGAAAGCACTCGTCGCGATCGTACGAACTTCGCCGTGCCATTTCGGAGATTGGATTCTTATTGGGAATTTCATCGTATCAATCGTCGTTTCCTGGCGACGACGAGTCCTTTCGCGATCCAAGACCGGAGGACTCAGCTCGCCGATATAAGCATAACATAGAAAAGAATTGTATGAAAAACAAGCGTCTACATAAACCCTAGACTAAACCCTGCCTCAATATCCAACATGAGAAACTCAACTTTTGGAGCGAACCGAGTTCTTCATTCACAACTGTCAATTTTACCGCTAATGTTTCAGTTCTTTTTAAATTTTTTACTCAGTACTATAAATATATATTTTCTGTTTCCTTTGTTTAATAAATATTTAAAATAATTTCTTGTATTTTTCTTACATTTTTTAAACATGATTTTAGCTTTAGAAGCATATGTGTAAATTTTAGCTTTAGAAGCTTAATGTGTAAATTAAAATTATGGAAGTAACTATTTAATTGCTATTTATTTCTCTCCAACGAAAAAATATTTGATACGTTTCCAAGTTTATACTGGAATTTATGTGAGAATCTTAGTAAAAGTTTGGTAAGAACAATATGAAGAAATCGTACTCACTTTAATAAGGAAGCAAACGTTTCTCGTGCCTCAGATGCAATCTTTCTTCTATCTGAAATAAAAAAGAAATGCAAAATGAATGAAATTCAAATGATGAAAAAGATAAACATGCAAATATAAAATAACTTTGCTTATAACGTTACAAATGTGATACATTTGTAATGTTAATTATTTCGTTGCCGTTAATTCTTTATATCTTTATACCATTATTTTATCATCACAAAATATTTTGATCTTCTGAGAGTGTAATACAGAAAGCATTACTTTTGCGCGAAATATTTCATTATTTGACCAATTATACTCGATAAAACACATAATATAGACAGAATGTTCGTTTATCGAAACCTTAAGGATTGAAATATTATAGGAGAATAACAAGAATTATTTTTCTCGAGAATGGATAAACTACGTTCGATTTATTTTCTTTCGGTTTATGATTGTCAGGTTCCATAATAACCTGATCGAGAAATGGTCTTATACCGTTGCTATCGCTGATTCTTGCGACTAGAATGTGAAACTGCCGACTAATAAAATAAAATAATACAAAACGGGCAATGTCCGAAGGACTAACAATAAGTGATCCCACTGACGAGAAAAATTGCGAATAAGTTACAATTATAAATGCGCGCTATCGTCTTATTATTATGCCACTTTCGCATGGCATGACTCGCGCGAAATAACGCTGCGTAATAAATACAGCAGCGAGATAGCTATATTTGTGCGGGCATGTGGGGGAAAAAGATTTTAATAAAGCACGAGTTCAAGACTCGCGATATAAAAATTGCTTGAAGTGACGAACTGAAACGTGATGTTGGAACGATGAGAGAGAATTCGTGAAAATTATATGCTGCGCGAAATTATTTCAGAGGGAGAAAGAAAAATTTAAACTAAATCGCGCATTCAGATAAATACATCAGGAATTCTTTAAAAAATTTTTAATTTAAATTAAAATTGATATTTTTCAAATTAATTAAAAACAGAAATTAATATGTAATAAAACTCTTCTTATTTATTTATCAGTTCGAATAGAGCGACGACTCGTTTAAAGTAAAACGAAATGAATTGTAGCGAACAATATGATAATGGTTGAGGATAAAAGTACAACGAGAGTGGGCGAAAAAAAAACGATTGTAAGCTAGGATCGTAATGACAATGCAAGCATGCTCTTTTTTCCCCGGTACCGCCTACACGACGACCTGTATTTTGAACAGAGAAAAGTAAACGCGCGATAAATCCCTCGAACTTTATACGAGGAACACGAGAGTTACACAGAGCCGTCCATAGAGTCAATAAAATTTATTTGCCAGACGAATGGCCTTTACCTCCTACTTTTGATAGATTACACAAAGTCTCTCACGTATCTGCAATAAATTTATAAAGAGAAAAAATATTCGTGCTTTGACATGAATTGAATACATAAATTCCTAACGGAGATTAAAATTTTTTATGGTATATATACCGGTCGCGTTTTCTATCACTCTTTTTTGACGAAAAAAAAAGACATACAATATTTAAAAATATTTAAAAACCAGATGTTTCCGCACAACTTTTATAAAAATTCTAAATCTTAGATATAGAAACTAAAAAATTTGCAGAAATTTAAATTTACTTCTGCATATAATATTTAACATCGTGAGATTAGTCGTTGAAAAATAAATTATTAAAACATGAAATTCGATTCATTTTGCTTTAAAAAGGAACTACCCCGTTTCTCGAGTACGCTCAAAACCCCCGGATGCGGCTAATGCGATTCTCTCGCGAAACATGAACGCGTTCTATTGGGCGATGCGATCGCGTCCCTTGTCGCAAGCAGATTCAATTAAATGTCGGGCATCACAGACAACCCAGTGCGGGAGTACCGAGTCGGAACAGACTTCGATTTTCGGCGGCGGTACATTATCGAACAAAAGTCTGAGTTACATCCAATTCAAAGCGTTTCTCCAAAATCCTTTTAACAAAAGCGCGACAAATAGAAAACCATATTGGATATCCGAGACTTGACGCATGCAATTTCAATCGCTTTTCTGAGAATTTAAAGATAGAAAAGAGTCAAGAATAGATTTTTCTTTAATTTTTCCTCAACAAAAGACTTATCAATTATTTAACAACTGCACTCAAATTCTTATAGTAATATAATTATAGAGAGTGAACCTATTACATTTGAAAGTTAAAACAGAACGGTGATACGACGGTTTTCGGATAAACGATACCTCTTGCTCAGAATCGTTTTTCAACCAGTTAAATTCGTTTTTCACTTTCGACACGTTCTTTTTTTTTATGCTTTCGATCAGCGATTTACGAGCCATTTCGATTTGGCGATATTGCGCGCGTAGCGAAAGGAAAGGTGGACGAGGAAACGAATATACCTTTTTATTGCGACTTTGTTTTAATGGACGAATCGACGTGGCGGGACGGCAGGTGATAAACAAACGGATCTTGGACTGGAAATTCGATTCGGAAAGTCGTTCCGACGCGCTTTATTCATGGCGCTCGACTCTGAACATCGGAGAGATATTCCCTTCGTTCACGACGTGTTTTATCGCGTAATCAAGCCAAAAGCGAAATCTACGATCTTCGAGCTTCTCCTCCCTCTCTCGGGGTAGAGAAAGAGATGGAGGGACTGGCTAAACGAGAGACGATCTCCGTTACACAAGCCGCTCCTAAACCTCACTCTCTTTGGGGTAATAATACGAGAAACGCGAACCACCCTTGAGAATTATTTCATACGTGCACCACTGCAATCAAAAATATCCAGCATAAGAACTTTCTGGAGAATTTCCATTTTCGTATTCTCCATTAGTCTGATGGGGGTTGAGTTTATTAATACAAAGTCGGTTCTTTTGCAATATTAATTTAAGAAATGTATAATAATATAATACTTTTAAATTAATAGCAGCAGCTCTTATCATCAAACATCAAATTTTCACGTCAAAATTATTTAAAGCATATATTTCCTTAAAATTTAGAAATAATACAAATAAGATATATTTTGTAGTCGCTATTAACTAATATTTTGATCTTATGCATTACGAAAATGCTTAGCATTTTTTATATGTTTCCTTCATGTCATAATTTTAGATATAGATAGTCTATTTTATTTGGTTCTTCGAAACACACCGTATATGTCGGGGGCCGCTCTTGGGTACGACTCAACGAAATCGAGTTTTCGTCTGCTTTATCCGCAGCTTCCGATAGAACGCGAAAACCCGCGAGAGGCATCGGTTATACAGGAAGAACGGCTTCCGGCGTGTCACGAAGATTGGACCGGTTCCAAGTCGCAAATCGATTGACCCCTAAAACCGATCGGATATACAGGGTGTGAAGAATCTTAAATCTACTCGTGACTTCCCTGGACCAATTCAACATCAAGCTTTCCTTAATAAAATCGCCGAGAAATCAATAATATTTAAAATATAAGTAAGAATAAATCACATAGTTCGGGCAGTTAATAAAGTTAAATGAATGACTTTATTTAAATTATAGTAATAGACATATTTTATGAACTTTGATTACTAAAATATCAATTATTGCCAAGTAATTAATATTTGCAATTAATAGGTTATCAAAAATATAATTAAAATATATCAAAATGCAGAAAAACACTTAATAAAATAAGCTTCATTTAAATAGTATTATTCTGCGGCACTTGGTCACTGAAATATTTATTATCGCCAAGTAACTAATGTTAAAAAATTGATAGATTATCAAAAAATAGTATATCTTAAAATCTCGTAAATCTCGTAAATCTTGATTAATTCAAGGTAATTTAATTGATCAGAGGTAATTTGGTAGGTCTGGATCACCCTGTATATCCTACACCCTCCGGGCCTTCCAGAAAACGGAACGAAGAAACGATAGAAGAGATAACCGTATCGCGAAGCAGCGACCTGTCAGATGGTAGCATCGGCTGACATTTACATGCAGCGAAACAATCGTACGTCATCTCCGGGAGAATTGTAAAGTAAAAGTTAGCTTCGTAACAACGCGCGCATTATACACCGACGGTTTTCAATTATACGGGGTGCTCGAGGTGAGAGTGCTCAATGAAACGCGCTTAAATATGCCGTTCTTGTGATATTTAAGTTGAATTAAGATCCATGTTTATTTATCCAATTTGTTCTACAAACGAAAACGAACCTGAAGTTTTTTAATTAAAAGAAAAACTATCTTTCGTGCCTCGCATCTTTATGCTTCTCAGAGATAAAAAAAATAACTAAAGTTTACCCGACATATGTCACTACCTTACACGCGTCCACGTGTAATAAAACAGATAAGTATCTGGCAGGATCATATAACGTATAGAGGAACGCGATTATTTGTAGCTATTTAATAACGATCACGGACAAACTTAGCGACGCAAATTATCGCGTTACGTGCTCGCAAACGCGGTGACAGACGGCACGAATTCGTGCCGGGTATATTATCGCGCACGGTATATAATCGCGCATTGTAAATAAGGCCTTTTAAACACACTGTATATACACGACATTGACGACGGACGGAGCTATTTCGCGAACGCACGGATCGCGTGTGCGTTTACGATGCCTATGACGAAGTTCAGATAACAAAGTCCACTTAATGTTAATCGGAAACATCGTGTTCGTAGTCATAAAAGTGTTGTCTCATTAACACTCCAAGGATCGTTCGATACGTCCGCCTCTAATAATAAGACTTAGAGACTCACCTTTATTGGCTTGAAAAAAACTGGACATTAGAATGCAAAATTTAATATTAAAAAATGTATTTTGCATTAATTCTTATTCCTGCCTTTGAGCTTCTTATTTAAATCTTATAAGATTAGAGATAAAAATAAAAATAAAGATAAAGATGTACAGATAGAAATATAGAGATAAATATAGAGATAAAGCTATAGAGATATAACATATAAAAAAAGCATTACGAGAACTCTTCGATTATATTTCTATTTCCGCGGGAATTATCTAAAAGTCTAACAGAGATATTTCATGTATACACAACGCGCATCCGGCTTATGTAAAATATTTTTACATGTTTCCATATCTGTCGTGTGATTCCTCGAAATCTTCAACATTATC